GTCCAACAAACATAACATTATATCTTCTTACTCTCCAATAAGGAGGAAAACGTTTACAACTGATGATAGAAAGATCAAGCTAATTAAGGTCGCTGCTACAAAAGGCAAGCGAAGAGAATACACGCATAGTATAGAAGCAGTCATTATACCTAAGTAGCAAACACTGTGGAGACGTCTTTGGGTCTCGACAACATAGGGCCTACGCAGTGGAATGACGCCGTGGAAGATTAAGATCACAACCAATGAACTAACATCCGTGATTGGTACCACCTCATGTGTGGGATTAACAATCTTGAAATTGGCTGCACTAATAAGTGTTGAGCCTTTAAGAAGTACATAGAGCGTATCATCTGTATAGATCTCTTCCCATCCAAGAGCTGGCCGCGCAACACAAAGGCAGCGGTATATAAGTTAAGGAACAAGGGAAGATGAAGATGGTCCCGAGGAAACTATGATAGTCAGGAGATAAAGCATCCTACAAGAAACCAATATGCATTTTAACCGCAAACGATACATGTAACCTATTCTAAACAGGTTAGGATCCAGTTTGCGCAATGGTGAGCAGAGGAACAACCTTCGGGTTAATGGACGGAGATGGTCAAAGCATCTACGAGAAGAAGGAATCCGAAAGCTATATGGTATTAATCCCAACAAGGTGATATACACATCCAAAAGTAAGGTCGATGGAGAGTATACACACATGTCCAATAATACCACCAAGATATCATACACATTCAAACGTAGTGGAGAATATGAATTCAGTCTCGGTAACGAACCTAAAATGGTGTCGCGCACATCCAAAACTATCGATGGTGAGTGTGAATACGAATAACTCACCCGGAGTAGTTTGAATCCCATCGAAAGTTGCTTTGAAGCACAATGAATGAAAGTTGGCCTGTCCACGCTCGATGTGGAGGGAACGAGCTTTGCCAAGTCAAGCCCAAATCGACAATAGTGGTGGTACAATTTATCTTTCCATACACAACAACGGTGGCTTGCAGTAAGTTGGAGAGGCTTACCCCATAAGCTGAACCAAGGCTGACTCTTCGAGCGTTCACCGAAAAGGGAGTAATCATGTAGATCGGCGTTGTGAACCAGAAGGGTCTTAATGGGCTAGGCGAAATTGGGCTTATAGGCCCAACAATCCTATTGGACCAAGCCCATAATTGTGTAGGGTTGAGAGAGCTGTAGGGTTTTTGGGTGGGGTGAGTGAGGAGGAGCTGTCGTGATGGCTGGTCGGCGGGCCACGACGGGGAAGTTGAAAATCAGCCACCCGAGGTTTTATTTAGGGAGCAGTCACCGGAGTCGGTGAAGAGCCTTATCGAACCGACTAAGCTCGGTTCTAGGGTTTGAAAACAACGCAGCTTCTGTTGCAGATCTGGAGTCGTCACCAGCGGCTGAGTCATTTGCCCGGAGCCGAGGACCACGCAGGTAGAGAACTCGCCGGATTCCATGGAAATCGGCATAGAGGATCGCAGATTACCAAGGCCAATAAGGCCCTGAAGTGTCTCGCCAGGATAGTCGACGGAGCGTGGACATGTTTCTAGCAGATCTAAAGGAGACTCGA